TTATTAAAATTACAGATAATTTATTTTATATATTATATTATAGTTTCTAAATATGTATTTTATTCATTGTTATGCATTTCATTCTTGTCACGGGTTTGCATTCTGACAGTCTGTTTTTCATTTCATCTCTCATGCTCGTTCTTTGATTGTATGAACTAATAGTAATGTGAGTCGCGCTCAGACAGACGGCAGAGTGTGACTGATGGGTCTTCACATATGGACGGCGTGAAGCATTGTTTCGGATTAGATGCTCTGACCTTGCACAGACGTCTGCCACCTATAATTGAAACCATGTCCTGTGCAGGACGGTATTGTATGCGGTTGCCAGTTTGTGGATTCAAAGACCCACACAAAGATTCTTTATGGTGGTCTTTTTAGCCAAGTTATTTATGATTTAGTCCACTGGAGAGGTGAAAGCATGGGCTAATGTTAGCTCCTATTAAACCCACCTGTTTTACAGCAGCTGTACATCGGCGGTGCTTTTATAACTCTTTTAGTTTTCAGCTTATCGTGTGAAAGGATGCACAGACTCAGACTCTGGTTCAGAAATCAGTGTGCACAGAAATTCAGGCTTTTCGACAGAACTGTCCGGCCAAGTAATCAAGATTTGTGTGATGTGTTCCAGGTTTCTTTAAAGGCTCTGAGGCTGGGAATTCAATTTCAGCCCACAGAATCGAAACCTGATCTTTGGGGCTAAAGGCTTCCTGACAGGGGGAATGCCAGGAGATCTATGAAATTCAGAAAGCGCATGCTATAGATTTCAGATGAACCTGTTTCAGGGCCCATGTAAAGCAGTTTAAACCCTCTCTAGATAAGCAAACAGATGTATCTGTAGCGTGATATGGTGCCCGTCATCTCCAAAGAGAATGCCTTTCATTCTCCTAATTTATGATGTGCTCACGACAAATCTCTTCATTTCTTGCCAAATGTGACATCCATAATGTAGCACTACTGCATTCTGTTACAGTCACGTAAAGAGATGTGTCAAAGTACCAATGCATTTTTATAACAAGAGAAACAAAGCTCTGTCACTGGTGACAGATGTTGGCAGACAATGACTGAAAAATATTTTTGCTTTATGGAAACTTCAGGTACATTTTACTGGTAACACTGAATACATCATATATGTTACATATCGTAACACTAGTTATATTTATTAGTTGTAAATAAAAAAAAAAGTTAAATAAAAAAGATAATTGGAGTACGTTTCATAAATCTACTACAGAATTTAATGACTAATTTCAGTGTGTTACTTTCCATTTCCTTGTAACTGTTTATAAAATTTACTAACAATTTCTGAGTGAAAATAGTTTCTACGCCAATTTTTGTTCATTGTATATATTTTATGCAAATTTTAGGACATCGCATTAATTGAAATGTATGCATTTTATCCTTGACTCTGCTAGCGCATCTAAATAAAAGTTAAATAAATAAATAAATAAAAAAAGACATATTACTGTCCCTTAACATGTCATGTGACAAAATTATCCAGAATAATTTTTGTATTATTCGGATTTTCCGCATTAATAATATTAGCAATTATATTGTATGGAAATATTCCAATATTTTGTTGGCATACAGAAAACATTTCAACAGTTATCTATAGTCTCAGTTATCTAGTTATTTCTCATCTTTATTTAGTGTTAAAATGCTTTATCACAACTTAACTTTAAGTCACAATTTAGGCTTATTATAGTTAACTAAAAATAAAATGTGACTATAACAAACATTTTCTTGAAATAAAATAAACTTTAACTGAAATGCAGTATAAAAGTCATAATTAGATTATTTTATTTAAGCGAAGGCAGTATTTCTTGTTTTCATTTAATCTACAGGTGCATCTCAATAAATTAGAATGTCATGGAAAAGTTCATTTATTTCAGTAATTCAACTCAAATTGTGAAACTCGTGTATTAAATCAATTCAATGCACACAGACTGAAGTAGTTTAAGTCTTTGGTTCTTTTAATTGTGATGATTTTGGCTCACATTTAACAAAAACCCACCAATTCACAATCTCAACAAATTAGAATACTTCATAAGAACATAAAATAGAATACTTCATAAAAACATTTTTATTTAATACACGAGTTTCACAATTTGAGTTGAATTACTGAAATAAATGAACTTTTCCACGACATTCTAATTTATTGAGATGCACCTGTAAGTTGATGTTCTAAAAAAACAACACTAAAAAAAGAAAATACTGAAACTTTAACTGAAATTAATATGAAAACTGAAAATATTAAAATACTTCAAAATATTAATAAAACGTATAAGAGTATCCTGCTACTAAAATAACACCGAACCGTTTTGTCAAAATTGAGGTACGTACCGAACCGTCATGTTTGTGTACCGTTACTCCCCTAATAGCAACACTTACTCGACCAATGGCACAAGTTTGGGGGCGTGGCTATCTGTTTGGCCAGCCAATGACAGAGAGAAAAGGTGTTTGGGGAAACCTGTTTGAAAGACTCGTTATTTTTGCAGCACTCTCTCTTTGATGATGCTCGCCTAAAGCACATTTAATACTTTACGTTTCAGTGGATAGACTCTTAAAGGGGTCATATGATGTTGCTAAAAAGAACATTATTTTGTGTATTTGGTGTAATGAAATGTGTTTATGCGGTTTAAGGTTTGCACCAAGAGCTTGTAACACTCCAAAGAGAAAGGAAAACTTGAAATCGCATCATATGACCCCTTTAAAATAAAAGGTATTAAGCCTTTTATGGGTAAAATAAGGTACACATATGTAACTTTTAGCTTTTGTATCTTAGAGTATCGCCCCAGTGACAGCTTTGTTCCATTTTTTTTTCTAAAAGTGTAGTTGTAGACCAATCATAAAAAAATGTCTTTTGATTGGCATTCCGTGCCGGCCAATCAGCAGCAGCCACTGCCCCTCAGGGTTTCACTGCACTGCCAGAGCTATGTTTCACCCAGCATTTCAATATAATCACCTTCACTGCCAGAACATTGGGCCACTCAACAATCTTCGACTGCCTACAAAAAGCTGAACGAACTCCAAAACACTGGTGTTGCATTTTACTAGGCCAGCACACAGAAGCCTTTCACAGTTACACTCTGACTTATACAGTATATAGCAGAGGCATAAACAGACGGTTTGGCGGTCTGTTTTGGTATGTGTTTATGGAGGCAGACCTAATGTGACCTTTTTGGCACATTTGGCCAAAAGGAAAATCTGTCAGGAAGCCATTCATAGAATTATCACGAGCTCTGCGCCGACTGTTATAGTCGGTCAGCGGCCAGCCGCAGATAAACCCAGAAATCAACCGTGTCTAGATTAAAATTGGTTTAAGGCTTTGAATTCGTAAGTGGTTGTCACATGCTGTGCCTTTTTTTGGCACCGATTTGAGATCCGGTCTGAATCCGACAGTTGAATCGTTTACACGGACGACAGGATCGTCATGAGTTTCCCTGCTTTCATTCTCACGATCAGTGCTGATGATAAGTAATCGGTTCTCACGCACTCTGTGGATCTCTGTGGTGCTTACACTATAATACTCCTCCTATGGTGTGTAAATTGCAGTGTAAACACTGCCCCTCGTCTCTGACCCTGCGCTCATGTGGGCTGAGCACCTCTCACACTTGCTGCTGTCAATCAAATCCTGCCTCCTCCGTGTAAAACAACTCCCTGTACACATCCTACCGCGCTGTAGCTTATATTACCATCATGAAAACTTCATTTGACATGCTTTTTAAAGTATTTTCGATTGTGTTATACGTGCAGGTAATAAAAGGTAGTCTGAAAATATAATTCTTAAATTATATTTCCTGTAGAATAAAATACATTATTTACATACATTTTTATTACATATTGTGGTACAGGTATAATATATGCTACCATAACGGTTTGGGGTAAGTAAGATTATTTGTAAGTATTTTTTGAAAGAAATTAAAACTTTTATTCAGTATGAATGCATAAAATGTGCATAAAATGTATATATATATATATATATATCATCAGTAATTTCATTATTTCATTAAATAATCTGAAAAAGAAAAGTCATGGTTTCCAATAAAAATATGAAGCAGCACTGAAACCAACATGAATAATAATAGAGTTTCTTGAGCAGCAGTATATTAAAATGATTTCTGAAGAATCATGTGGCACTGAAGACTGGAGTAATGGCTTTTAATGAGCAGAACTTCTTTCAAAAAACATAAAAAATGTTTCTGACCTCAAACATTTGAATGGTAGCATAGGTTAATTAGATAAAAATGACATTTTAAATCCCTTCTAGGGTTTGGTATGATAATATAATATAGAATTATTATTAACCTTTAATTATCTATTTTAGATCATAGAATAATTAGCCAAAATTACATAGTTACATTTTAGAGACTTTATTAAGTTTTTCAATTGTTGGAATTAATATAATATTAAAAAAATAATTTTATTATGGGATTTTATTTAAAATATTATATTATAATATGGATTAATTTTATGAGACATTTATGACATCCCATAGTGATATCTTTTTTTTTTTCAGATCAGGTTTAAGTTTTCAGTATGCTTAGGATTGTTTTTTTTATTTTTTATAATACATTTCAACCTGAAGTATGTTAATGTACATTTAGCAATTTAACTTAATTGAGGACTGTAGGCCAAAAGTGAATGTTGCATTATATCCAACTATATTAGATTATATTGAAGTGTATTCAATTTATTTTTTAGAATTAAACAAAATATAAATACAGTTTTGAAGGCTTTGCATATTTTCTTTTACTAAAATTGGACATCTCTGATTTAGTCCCTCAGCTGCTACACTTTCTATCAGTATTTCAGGTGAATGTAGTATTTGAGCACCAGTAGGTGGCATTAGTGAGCACAGCAGGGGCCAGATGATGGAGCTGTTTGAACACACATGAACACAACTGCTAGTCACAGATATCTTAAACGTTCACATATATCCCATCTATATATTGTTGATGTTTTTAAAATGTTTACTACGGAATGCTAATCTACGTGTCCTCTCTCAGTTTGTTCAGCGTAAAGCGTGTCCCGGACACGTCGTGCACATCTGTAACCTCCCGGAGGGCAGCTGCACGGAGAATGACGTCATTAACTTAGGGCTTCCCTTCGGCAAAGTGACCAACTACATCCTCATGCGCTCGACGCATCAGGTAAGAGATTTCAGCTCTGACATGAAGAAAGCGATGATATATCGTGCAGTTTGTCGTAAATAAAATGCTAGCGCTAGGCTACAGAGTAGCTATAGAGCACTGCAAGCACTTTATTTACTTGATCTTCGTACGTTTAAACCCCGACACCGATGATGTCTCCATCACCCCGATTCGTTAATCAAACTTGACTTTTTGATTGGTCCTGTTAGTACAGACTGGATCAAATTCTGGGTTCAGTGCCAAGTTTGACATGTGCCTGAAATGCCTGGCATTGAATTGACCTTGTAACTGTCTCGAAGATTTATTACGCAATTAAAAAGAATATCCGTTCGGATCACATTTGACACATTTTATGTTCCGTGCACGCTTTAACGATTTTATCTTCGGCGTCAGGCTTTTCTGGAAATGGCATACGTGGAGGCGGCGCAGGCGATGGTGCAGTACTACCAGCTGCAGCCGGCTACCATCAACGGACACAAGCTACTGATCCGCAAGCTTTTCAAGACAATAAACCTGCCAAAGAGCACAATTCTAAGAATTTTGCCACATGTGTTTTAAATGTAATTTTTTAAAGATTTTTCCTTTTCTTTATCGTTGTCTCAAACCTGCTGCTGTTTTGTGCAGGTATTTGCCGGAGCGTGCCAGATCACGCAGTCCAGTCAGTCGTTCTCTGAGTCCGCGCTCACACAGTCCGAGCTTCACGTCCTGTAGCTCCGCCCACAGTCCACCGGGGCCGCCCTGTCGGCCTGACTGGAGCAACGGCATGGGGCCCCGCCGGCCCTCTTGGGACTGGACATCCCATTCCCGAGGCGACGAGGACCCCCGCAAGAGAGATGACTGGAGGAACGATGAGGAAGAGAGACCCAACGGATGGCTGTCCGAGCGCAGGAAACCCTACCTTAAAACAGGGGACCGGATCAGCCCACGTATGGGGCCCGGGGACGAGCGGGGCAGGGACTGGTACCCCCGCGGAAGCCCCCAGGGTTCGTCCTTCTCCTCTTATCACTCCATAGACGACTTTTACAAGAAAGACTCACTGTACAAGACTGATAAACTGAGCAGGCCACAACATCAGAGACACGAGGGGAAAACAAAGAGAAGGGAAGGCGGCGACTACCACAGACCCCGACACTCAGAGTCAGACGTGACGGACGACACAAACTCCAACCGGACAGCTGAAGACAGAGGACGCAGCAAGAGGCCGAGCCGGAGACAAGACAGGGAGGAGAAGGAGCCCGAAAATCAGGCATGTCCTGTTTCAGTTCAATAGGGTTCATTTGAAGAACAACTGTAATACTGTTTCAACTGAATCACAACATTTGAAATTATACACAGAATGTTAAGAATATTAAACATGTAAATATAAAATATATTAGCATTCAGTTCGTATATTTTATAAAATATCTTTATATTATTTTAGTTTAATATATTATTTAAAATATATAAACTTTCACGAAATTTAAATATTTAAATATACTATTTTATTAAATATTTTATTTATTTTTTAATAATCTATATTATATTACATTATATTATATTATATCCAAATGTGCTTTATAGACAATATTTTAATAGCACTGTTTTTTTTTGTATTATAGAAGGAAGAATATAGAGCCAAAGACAGATCAACGTCTCCTCATAACAGCAAACCTGTAGAGTCTCCAAAGTGTGACAGAGATGGTGACAGTGAGGTAAACATATGTTCATTCATTCATCTACCAGTCTGCGTTATGTCATTTAATAATATTACAACTTAAAACAACTGTTTTCCGAAATTTATTCCTGTGATGCAAAGCTGAATTTTCAGCATCATTACTGCAGTCTTCAGCATCACGTGAGGGCTCATCCTGATCACGGGATTCGCACAAACCCAACTCAGAGTGTTTTCCTTTCTGACCCAGAAACCAGGTAAAGATGTTGACTCCATTATCCAAGACATCAATTCCCAGAGAGAGCGAGACGAGATGCAGGAGACTGACAGGTGAGACCAGGACACATTTGTATTGAGACTTTTTGGGTCATTTGTTTAAATTCTGGATCTACTGATTTATTTTACGATACATAAAAATGCCAATTCATATTTATAATGAAATGAATACATCTCTTCTATCATCGAAGAATGATTTGAACTTCTAATTAGTTTAAAATCAAAATTCAAAACTAAAAATGAAAAATTTTGGTCTGAAATGTCAGGGTGATTTGAGTAGTTTGGTATCATATTATTATTATTGTTATCATTTAGAATTGTATATTATTATTTTATTTTATATAATATAATGTTTTATATGTCATGGAAATCTAAGTCATGTGGTGTGACCAACAGAAGGTAGACCTTCATGACTGTGTGATAATATAGAATTATTAACTAAATTTCAGTTTTCTATTTTAGGTATAATATAGATAAATTAGCTACAGTGTTTGAAACAGTTGTGCTGCTTCATATATTTGTGGAAACCTTGATAATCTTTTTTTTCAGGTAAAAGTATTAATTTCTAATGTTTCCTGGTTTTCAGGGACTGGAAAGTGTAGATGATGGAGAGGAGGAGAGCTGGTATCCTAAAAGCATGGAGGAACTGGTGACCGTAGATGAAGTTGGAGGAGAGGACGACTCTATAGTTGAACCTGATCTACCTGATCTTCACGAGGAGGACCAGAGAGTCGAGCCCAGCCAGTCGACAGCAGAGAGCCCTAAACCAAACGCAAAGACCCCAACTGAAGGCGAAGAGACCACGTTGGACCCTCCTACCCTTCCACTGCTGGTTCTGGTCCCAGAAGAAAGCTCTGGAGGTGCTCAGTCCAGCCCTGGAGAGAGACCATCTGCCCCAGAGCAACCGGTCTGTCAACTCAACCGCTTCCCGTCCCAGGAGTTCAAGAGCGCTTTGGAGGAGACCTGCTCCGCCACTCATCTAGACACACACATCGACACAACCACACCAGCTGGCCCTCTAAACAACAGCAGCACATGTGAAAGTGGGAAAGTGAAGGACTTGAGTAATGATGAGAGAAAGACAGCAGAGATGGACAACAAGGAACCATGTCTCAAACAGGACAGTCAGAAGAAAGGTACTCACAACTGACTTTAGTTTGTTAGTGACTGTCTATAATGACCCGGTCCCAGCTAATGAAAATAAAAACGTTTTGATAATGTTCCCATTAAGTTATATAATAAAGCAATAGGCCCCAAGAAGCTGTGGTTTACAGTGAATTTATAACAGCTAAGCGGCGTTGTTAGGCACGACGCGAAGCGAACCCCCTTAGCGGTTATAAATTCACTGTAAACCACGGCTTCACGGGGCTTATTGCTTTTATAAAATGGTTATTCCGTATACGTAGTAAGGTTTCACAAAATAAAACAGAGCAAATAAAGTGTAATGATATTAATAAAAACATTCTTCCGCCAAACAATGTAGTTCCTCAGAATCGGTTGTGGTTGCAACAAAGTGGTTGCCAAGCAACACACAAATGTAAACAAAGGTGTGTGTTTGTAGAGTAATTTACAACAGCTTCGAACGTGGCTCAACCAATCAGAATCAAGGACCGGAACTTTCCGTTTTATAAATGTTATTTATAAGCTATAAGAAGTCGTAACTTTGACAGAACCTTACCAGAACAATAGCCAGTGTTCTAAACATAGCCTGTTAGCTGGGGAGTTTGGGAGTGTTACTTCTTCATACTAATACCATTGTAGTTCTTAGTTCCTCATAGAGATCTAAAAAGTGTCACTTACCATTGATTGGCGAATTTTTGCATGTGAAATCCTGTCATTTTAATAGGAATCCACATTGGGAATTATATTTTAAGGGCGAAGGATTTCCCCATGCAGATTTCACATCAGATTTGGTCATGCAAATTCCCCACTCAGACCAACATTATTAACTAAATTTCAGTTTTCTATTTTAGGTATAATATAGATAAATTAGCTACAATGGCATTTTTAAATTTTAGATAGTAAATATAGAATACTTGGATATAGAATTGTATTAATTTTGAAATTGAAAATGCAAAAAGAAATGATTAAAATTAACACATTGTTAATTTTTTTGTAATTCATAATATGGATTCAAATTAAAATATTTATTATATAATATTATATGTATAATATTATATAATATTTAAGAGTTTAAAATCAGATAATTTGACTTGTTCATAACAAGGAAAGGTTAGTTCAGTTTGTAAAATGACTTGAAGCTGGAGGAGAGGACGACTCTATAGTTGAACCTGATCTACCTGATCTTCACGAGGAGGACCAGAGAGTCAAGCCCAGTCAGTCGACAGCAGAGAGCCCTAAACCAAACGCAAAGACCCCAACTGAAGGCGAAGAGACCACGTTGGAACCTCCTACCCTTCCACTGCTGGTTCTGGTCCCAGAAGAAAGCTCTGGAGGTGCTCAGTCCAGCCCTGGAGAGAGACCATCTGCCCCAGAGCAACCGGTCTGTCAACTCAACCGCTTCCCGTCCCAGGAGTTCAAGAGCGCTTTGGAGGAGACCTGCTCCGCCACTCATCTAGACACACACATCGACACAACCACACCAGCTGGCCCTCTAAACAACAGCAGCACATGTGAAAGTGGGAAAGTGAAGGACTTGAGTAATGATGAGAGAAAGACAGCAGAGATGGACAACAAGGAACCATGTCTCAAACAGGACAGTCAGAAGAAAGGTACTCACAACTGACTTTAGTTTGTTAGTGACTGTCTATAATGACCCGGTCCCAGCTAATGAAAATAAAAACGTTTTGATAATGTTCCCATTAAGTTATATAATAAAGCAATAGGCCCCAAGAAGCTGTGGTTTACAGTGAATTTATAACAGCTAAGCGGCGTTGTTAGGCACGACGCGAAGCGAACCCCCTTAGCGGTTATAAATTCACTGTAAACCACGGCTTCACGGGGCTTATTGCTTTTATAAAATAGTTATTCCGTATACGTAGTAAGGTTTCACAAAATAAAACAGAGCAAATAAAGTGTAATGATATTAATAAAAACATTCTTCCGCCAAACAATGTAGTTCCTCAGAATCGGTTGTGGTTGCAACAAAGTGGTTGCCAAGCAACACACAAATGTAAACAAAGGTGTGTGTTTGTAGAGTAATTTACAACAGCTTCGAACGTGGCTCAACCAATCAGAATCAAGGACCGGAACTTTCCGTTTTATAAATGTTATTTATAAGCTATAAGAAGTCGTAACTTTGACAGAACCTTACCAGAACAATAGCCAGTGTTCTAAACATAGCCTGTTAGCTGGGGAGTTTGGGAGTGTTACTTCTTCATACTAATACCATTGTAGTTCTTAGTTCCTCATAGAGATCTAAAAAGTGTCACTTACCATTGATTGGCGAATTTTTGCATGTGAAATCCTGTCATTTTAATAGGAATCCACATTGGGAATTATATTTTAAGGGCGAAGGATTTCCCCATGCAGATTTCACATCAGATTTGGTCATGCAAATTCCCCACTCAGACCAACAGAAAGATGAAAGATAAAGCTTGGTTTATATGTGACTTTTGTGTGAGCTGTGCATCATACATACATGCTTCACTGACAATAGACAATAGACCTTAGATTCACAATAGACCTTTTTTGCTTGCAAAATTGCGCTAATAAGACCGCACCTGTCTAATTACAGAATCATACGATTAAGATTGCTGTTCAAAAGCGGTTCAGATTCACTGACTGAGCGAGTTTTCTTCAAAGCGTTAACTAGTGAGTAAGTCCGAAACTTAGATACTTCTGACTGACTCATTAAAAAATAACAAATTCTGGAGAATAATGTCACGAACTTCGAATTTTGCACTTAAATATTATCAATATTTCAATTATATTTGAATTTAAAAGGCATAAATTCAGTTAGGGGGAAAAAAGGCCACAAGAGGGTGCATCGAGTAAAATATTTCTAATGCATGTTTATTAAAAGCAATACAATAACATGACTATCTGTGAAAAAAGTGTACTATGTTTAAAATAATGTTTATAAACCAAATATAATTAATTACATTGCTTAAACAATTATGGCATCATGTATGTATGCACAGTTTAATACAAAGGGCTGAAAGCCAATCATACAGAGTACTTTTTCATTTAAAACATGAGATGCAGTGGGATGGGAAAAAAACTGCCATAAAGTTTCGAGACATGTTTTTTTTAAAGTTGAACTTACATTAATTTTACATGGCTTTCTATACAGGCATCTCTCTTGTGTGAGACGCGACTACAATGGTGATAGATGTCCCGCTAGAAAATGCGCAAAAATATGCGTTGTGTGTGAACGGCTTGGTTTCAGTTTTGACGTTAACAAGATCTTCTTCGCATTGATAAGCCTGCCTTAACGCACACCTAAAACTCGAATGCAAAAACGTTGGATAGTGGATTTTCATTTTAAATTCGCCAAATATTCTAAATTCTAATACTTATTTGACAGCTCTAGCTCACGCTGTTCATTTTTCCATGCAAAAAACACTAGTGTGCACTCAAACGTAATTTAAAAATTAGCCAACACCACCTAACAAGACGAATCTGACGAAACAGCATTTTTTGCATTTGCATTTGCAACAATTTTAGATGCAGCCCTACTAATATTTTTTAATGAGCCAAGCAAAAATGTAACTTCACTTGATTAAACTTTGACTTGATTGAAAAGCTTTGACATTTTGATAATAATCTTTTTTTTCGTTTTGTGACTTTTGCCTGACCTGTTAAAAAGTGCAAGTTTTTGAGAATAATTTGCCCATGAATCAGACATCACTGTTCGCGCCATGTTCATTTTTGCATGCCGGAAACAATGGTGTGCAGTTGAAAGTGTCCTAAAAATGAACTAATGCCACCTCACAAGATGATATCTGACTGAACTGCATTTGTTGCATTTGCACAGTCCTGCTAATATTTGTTTTAATGAGCCAAGCAAAAATGTACCTAAACTTGATTAAATTTGCAAAGCTTTTCTGGAAAAGCTTTGACATTTTGATAATAACGTTTTTGTGTTTTGTGACACGAGGATAGGTAGATGATGTCATAATTTTCAGGTTAAAGCAAATGATCTGCGGAAGCTTGACTGAACTAATGCTTTCATGGTAAAAAAAAAAAATACCAAAATTGTATCAAATTTGGAAATTTTGACAAATTGTTTTTTTTTTTTACCTACAAAACTTGTTCAATTCAGTCATCCAAGATTTTTTTTTAGAAGTTGCATTTAAAATCTACTTGCCTCAAAAACCTTAGGGGGGCAATTTTGAACATTTTGTGGCAGTTTAATGTGATTTACAGGCTGCAGATACAAATTTTTTTACTCAAATCAATGATACACAACAAACACTAAAGCATTTCTTTACACCTATTTCATCTATTCCAGATATTCCTGACTCATTACCGGCCCCTTCACCTCAGGCAACAGACATCTTTGTTGCGTCACCCTCGCAGGAGCAGGAGAAAGCCATCAGTGAACACAGCATACCGTTAGGTACGTCCATCAGAAGTCAAAAGGGTCGAACCAAACGCCGCAAGTGCCATTTGGTCAGGAAGACGAAAGCATGAGCAATAGTAATAGCGACGCTTTGCAGCGAGAGCAGCACTAATGAATGGCTCTGGCTGTGATGTGGGCTCTCAGTGGGTGACTGAAGCCTTTAAGGCCAGCTGATGTCAGTGGAGCATTTGTCATCCTGCTGAGTGAGGTGTGAATTGCACCCTCGAGGCCCAAGCTTGTGTACTCATTACCACACAGTTAACACACTAGATTCCCTCACAGAAGAGCTGACTTTACACCCCTGCACACACTCACAGAGACGTATATGTGAAATGTGCCTCAGAAAGAAGTGTGGGTATGGTGTCGTTCTGATTTCCTGCTGGTTTTGTTGTTTTTGGCAGGTGTGGAGTTCATCGTGCCAAGGACGGGGTTTTATTGCAACCTGTGTAGTTTGTTTTACACCAGCGAACAAACAGCCAAGACGTCACACTGTCGGAGTACAATTCACTACAGGAACCTACAGGTCATAAATACGAACATACAGTCTTCCTTTCTCTTTTCACACAAATATGAACGGTTCTCTTTTTCTTAACCTTTTCTGTGCAAAGTTATATGACAACCGATGACAACACAACAACATAAACCCAAAAGCGACTGATTGATGATTCAAAGAGCTCTAATAATACACACATTTTAACATAAGAATTTATAAAATAAAATGATATGCTTCAAATTTCTGAATTTCATATTATACTTGTGTGTGATAAATAGACTGGAGCAGGCCTGATATTTCGTCAATGGCAAAAACGCTTTTGTTTGCATGATACATCCACACCCATAGGTGTCAGTATGAAGTCCAACACTACTTGCGTAACATGCCAGTGAAACATAAAACTTTTTAGCGCACCTTTACATAACATTTATGATACCATTAGAAAATTTTTTCAAACAAACTTTGTTTGTTAGGTGTGGCATGTAAGATTTATCGCAAGTATTCTTAAGAAAGAAGATGATTAATTATGATATCAAATGTTGGTTGGTGTCAGAGTGAAGCAGTACTTCCTGATTGGAATTATGGCCCATTTGTGAAACTTTTACTACCTCAGACATCGTTTGCTAGTGGGAACACAATTAACTTTTCATTGAGGGTCATTGGTTGAACTTGTTCATTTCTGGTTGTTCATTTGGAGTAAGCTCTACTTAAGAAACTGATCTGATGACAGTAGATTTAGGCTAGAAACATGCCTTATGCAAATGAATCAAACTTTCAAGCAGTACATATGGGAAAAGTTACACTACAGACAAGCTAACTACGTGGAAGCTATATAAGTGATTCAAATCAGTGAATCAGCGAAATCAGTGAACTGCTGCTTAAAAACTCTTCTCAAATAAACTGATTCACTTAAACGAATCAGACTTTACAAAGGTACATATGAGATTTGCTATATTACTGATGAGTTAACTACATTGAAGTTACTTAAGGGACTTGAATCAGTGAACTGTTTCTTAAAATCTCTTCCTAAATGAACTGATTCACTAAAATTAATCAGACTTTCCAACAGTACATCTAAGATTAGCTACACTTACAGGTTAGCTAACTACATGGAAGCTACATAAGTGATTCAAATCAGTGAATCAATGAATTGTTTCTTAAAATCTCTTTTTTAAACAAACTGATTCACTTAAATGAATCAGACTTTACAACAGTACATAAGAGATTAGCAACATTACTGACTAGCAAACTACATTGAAGCTACTTAAGGGATTCGAATTAATGAACTGTTTCTTAAAATCTCTTCCAAAACAAACTGATACACTAAAATAAATCAGACGTTCTAGCGGTAGATATGGGATCAGCTATATTACTGACTAGCTAACTACAGTGATGCTATTTAAGGGACCTAAATTGGTAAATTGTTTCTCAAAATCTCTTCACAAAACAAACCGATTCACTAAAATGAATCAAACTTTCAAGTGGTATAGATGAGATAAGATACACTACTGATTAGCTAACTACATGGAAGGTACTTAAGTGACATGAATCAGTGAATCAGTAAATGTTTTCTTAAAATTTCTTGCCAAACAAAGCAGTACATATAAGACTAGCTACATTACTGGCTAGCTAACTGCATTGAAGCTACTTAAGGGACTTGAATCAGTGAATTGTTTCTTAAAATCTCTTTCCAAACAAACTGATTCACTAAAATGAATCAGACTTTCCAACAGTACATCTGAAATTAGCTACACTTACAGACTTGCTAACTACATAGAAGCTACTTAAGTGACTCAGATCAGTGAATCAGTGAACTGTTTCCTAAAATCTCTTCCTAAACAAACTAATTCACTTAATTGAAGCAGACTTTTCAGTGGTACATATGAGATTAGCAACATTACTGCCTAGCTAACTACATTGAAGCTACTAAAGTGACTCGAATAAGTGATTTGTTTCTGAAAATCACTTCTCAAATGAACTGATTCGCTAAAATTCATCACATATTCAAGCGGTACATGAGATTAGCTACATTCCTGACTACCTAAATACATGAAAGCTACTTAGCTACTTATGGAAGACTCGAATCAGTGAATTATTTCTTAATCTCTTCCCAAATGAACTGATTCACTAAAATGAATCAGACTTTCCAGCGGTACATATGAGAGGACCACATAGCAGAGTGTATTTGAATATTGCGTCAGCTCGCTTGGCAGTAAATCTGCACGCAATGTGAACAATGTGAAATGCGAAATTCAACAATGTGAAATTCAAACAGCGATGTAACATTTGGCCACGCTACACTGCCACTTGTTGGAAATAGTAGCTTGTTACTGAAAAGACTACACTTACTTAGTTACTCCGCACCACTGCAATGACTGCAATGTAAGATTGACTGATCTAAGACGCCCGGTCCTCAGGGTGGGATAAAGTTTCTCATTATAACCCTTCAGAAACGCACACATATAGACAGACACACTTTCCAACACAACATGGTTGAGGCGGCAAGGAGCCAGACATTCCCCGTCATCACAGTCAGACCACAACCAGTTGTTGTGTCTCTCAGACTAGAGCGGTCGGCCAAAGAGCGTCACCTCATACTTCACTTCTCCGCCTTGAGGTCCGCCAGCTGTGTTGAGTTTACAAGAACTACAGTGAGAAGCTGACAGCTGAATTTAACACCAGAAGAGCAAGACAGGTGAAACTGAGACAGACAGAGAGAGAGACAGACTGTAAACACCACAGGAAACACCTGCCTCATTATAACCCTTCAGAAACGCACACATATAGACAGACGAACACACTTTCCAACACAACATGGTTGAGGCGGCAAGGAGCCGGACATTCCCCGTCATCACAGTCAGACCACAACCAGTTGTTGTGTCTCTCAGACTAGAGCGGTCGGCCAAAGAGCGTCACCTCATACTTCACTTCTCCGCCTTGAGGTCCGCCAGCTGTGTTGAGTTTACAAGAACTACAGTGAGAAGCTGACAGCTGAATTTAACACCAGAAGAGCAAGACAGGTGAAACTGAGACAGACAGAGAGAGAGACAGACTGTAAACACCACAGGAAACACCTGCTTTCCTCCCACATTTTGACCTTCTTCTGTTTCAACTCTCCTTGTTTCACTGCTAAACAAATACGCTTTTTGGAAGGACGCACATATATGGGAGTTTCTTCAACTCTTATGTCTTTAAATCCGACCTCAACAATAAGTCCAGTAGAACATGAGCGCAAAATTACTTTGCAACTTTAAAATATAAAAGTACTATCATGCAATTTAGTCAAATTATGCAAAAACTAAGTAGATTGTCAGCCATTTTATCTACTAGTAGACACTGTTAGTGGAAAATGATTAAACAAATGGGTTTGAAAAGTATGTTTATGATAGAGTTTAGTCTCTAAGCCAAAAGAGCCCAGAAACACGCCATATACAAATGTAGCATGAACTTAATTGAGTATAACAGTCACAACAGATGCTCTCAGTCAGCCATTTTAGTCAGAGAAACCAAACTGTTGCTCTTCATGGCTGCTCCTATGCCTGTAATCTAGAAGTAAACTGTTCTTCGTGTAATTTAACGGAAGATTGTTTGTGTTTTTTATAGAAGTATCTGTCGCAGCTGGCGGAGGAAAGTCTCTTGAACTTCCACACGGAGTCGCCAAACACTGAATGAAGCTCACGTGAGACTATCAGGACTGCACCACTGCTGGGACATGCTGAGAGACACAAAACAAGGACAAAGAGGATGGGACACAAGGAGAACAAGAGCAATTGGATCCTCTGTGTACTCTAGTTCATAGCGATATGTATTGTACGAAAGTTTTCAAGAATTACAAAATTGGCTTATTAAATGTCATATATTTTAAAGGAGTAGTTCACTGAGAAATGTAAGCTCCAAACATGTTACTTTTTGTTCTGCGAAATACAAATTTTATTTCAGAATGTTTATGATGCTATTTTTCTATACAGTGGAATTGAAGCGTTTTGTGGTTACAAAATTTAAAAAGCACCATAAAAGTATCATAAAAGTAGTCCATGCAACATGTGCACTATATTAATTTAGTTTCATCATAGCCATGATTCAGCTAAAATAAGGGAAAGAATCAGGGTTATTGTCGCAAACTAAAACCATAAATTTGTTACTTGAAACAAATGTTAACTGAAATGAAATCTAAAAAAAAAACTTAAACTTATTTTATTTCAGCTAATTGCTAAGGCAACATTTCTTATTTTCATTTCGTTTAACTTTAAGTACTAAAATAACTAAAACTAAAAATAATAAAAGAAAACGAATAAATAACAAATAAAAACTATATAGACATTTTTTTTAAACAAAACAAAACCAAAAAAATTACTAAAATGAACTAAAATTAAAACAAACGAAAATAAATAAAAATGAAATCTAATTCACAATATTAACAAAAACTTAGTATAATATACTAATATAACACTAAGAAATAATTAGTACAACATGGCCATGATTTACTTAAAATGAGGAAAAGAATTAACAAGTCATGGGAACTAATTCTTAGTTCGTGACCACAATATCTTTTTATCCAACATGTCATTTGTACTCGACAGCCCCAGTCTCCATTCACTTTCATTTTATGGAAAAGAGCAGCAGGAACGTTCTACAAAATATCTTAATTTGTGTTCCACGGAAAAAAAGAAAAAGTCAGTCATACAGGTTTGAAACATGAGGGAGAGTAAATGATGACAATTTTCAGTTTTCTGTGAACTCAAAGTGCCCTGTCCTTATTTGTAGGACAAAACGCAGTGTGTGTGTCCTTGTAGTCCAGCATGGAATTTTTATTACACTGTGAAAAACATGTATCAGAATGTGAAATGCACTGGTAAGTGTAGTGTTTACATCATCTGCATCTGCCTCATTCATACTCCAAAGCTTGCATATATGTTGAATTTTCTCTGTGGTCGACAAATATAAACTTCACTTCAGAAGTGCCTAATTTAAACTTCTATTTAAATTTAAAGAGTTGTAAAATTATCCTCAGGTTAATATTTGTGAATATTCTGTTGATGCTCTTTAAATTATTAATTTTTGTCATTCATCAGGTCTTCAATCTGCTTCATGCTTGAAATATTCACTTTTCGAAGTGCCTTATAATGTATTAAAAGCCCCAAATGCTTAAAAATCAGTTGAACACAATGGAAAGCTGCTTCTGTATAATGTCTGCCATACTATTTTGCTTTTAATTTTCATCATTGCTGTACACAAAGCTCAGACTTTAGGGATACTTGAACTGGACCATGTTTATTTATCTAATATCCAATTTATTTAAAGCTGAGTGAGTGTTGTAATGTTAGTATATTATTGGAATGGTTCTGGAAAACTTTTTCTCCTGCTGTTTTATATTCTGTTAATAATAGCACTCAATTTTATGTAAGAAATTTTTTTGGGGTTGCATTGATGCAAATATTAAATAAACATAAACATAATAAAAAAACATAAACGTTGCTTGATGTTTATGTGAACCGAACGAGTAAAGAAAGTGTCCCGTGATGGCCCTGAATGACATGTCTGGGCCTGTACGTTATGAAATAACCCCTGCAACTTTTTTTTAAACCATTATCTTTTTTAAAACTGGGTCAGATGAATAATATAACAAGAGCGAGGGACTTCATCTTCACCCATGCGCAATCTGTTACATAATTACCACGTCTGTTCCAGCGTCCAACGCAGAGCGGCGGAAAGTCACGATCTTCACCGAAGAACTCAGAGAAAATACGAGAAAGATCGGCTTCATCTGAACTCAGTTTTCATTGGTCACTTTGTCATCCGCCTCTATTATTCTAACCAATCAGAGAGCTCGCAGGACAGCATTACGCTATCGAGTTGCTGGGCAGAGAACACAAAATCAACATCAACGGAGAGTACGCTCGAACTTGGACTACGCAATAAAGCAGGTTAGTAGGATTTGTTCCTTATCGACTGGCCGTTGTTTTAAAGCAATTTATTTTGCGTTATTTAAGACTTTTGGAGGCTTTATTTTAGACGCCGTGTCAAATAAGGACAAAAACGGCGTTTGTTCGCTGCTAGTCGCGAGGCTTTGTTTATGTTTATGTTGCGCTCGTGCACTTGCGCGTGCAAATAACGCCATACATTGAATGCGTGCTCTACATCAAATATTAAACACGTTAATAGCTATTAACATTTAAAAATGAGTTTTTCTTAGCCAAAACACTTTATTTTGGAGACTGCAGGTCTTCTGTCTGTATGTTAATGCGATCCATTCATGATTGTATCAGGCTTGTGTTGGAGCCAAATGGACGCTGCTGATTGGAGCAGCTGCTTGTTCTTTCGCAAAGAAATATTAACGATAATATTTCTGCATCCTAGGTGCGAAGGCACATTTCATACGCTGTAAAACTTCATCTCCTAACCATGGCAACTGACTGTGAGGCATGGCTGAATGCAAACCCTGTTGGTAAGTTCAAGTTTATTTTTATCGCGATATTTAGTGATTTTATATCGCAGTAAATATTTTTAGGTCAGTGTTTCAGTACTGTTTGCCCTCATATTTGGTATATGATATGAAAAGTCTTACAGAATTGGCCAAGGTCAATAATATCACTTGTTTTTAACTCTCACATTGGGAAGGATAAGGGGCCCAAACTTTGGCCCCTAGTGCTAATGCTATTTTTTAGTGCATATTTAGTCTCAAACTACAAGTTTGATATGCGTATTTGCATGTAAATGTTTCCAAACACTCCCGTCATCCACAGAAGCTGGAGATCTCAGCGATTCGTTCCCCTCTGGGGACGAGGACAACACCTTCACTGGTAACGTCAATAACGAGATCAACGGAAACTGGATATCGGCCCCCACCGGCAGCATCCATGAGGCAAGACTCAAGGCCAAGGTGAAGAGACGTCTGAGGAAGAACTCCTCCAGGGACTCGGGCCGGGGCGACTCGCTGAGCGATAACGGTGATGTGGTCCGCTCTGTGGTTCCACCCACCAGCCCTAAGGGCAAACTGCTAAACAGGAGGTCGAGGATGGGCAAGGGACGAGGCCTGCCGAAGAAAGGTATCAGTGCTGTTTGATTCCTTGACCTAGAACTATAGGGGCTTTCGCGCCGGAGGAACCTTTTCATAGTTCCTAGAACTACTTGTGGAAGATCCCGATTTTTTAGCGTGTTCGCCAAATGGTTTTAGTTCTAAGAACTCCGTTTGTGCAAACTAAATTAGCTCCTCCTTCAGAGTAGGGTCCAAAACAGTTCTATAGGAACTACCAGTGACGTTAATGCACGCTGATTGGCCAAACATTGGCATACAAAACACTGGCTACCCGTCATTTTTAAAAAGCAGAGTAAAAATATTTACTCCACGAACATGGAAAACAGCGATAATGGCTACCTGTTGTCTGCAGCATCCTGTTCTTTTCTCAGCCTCGATGATATGTAACACTGCAAGTTGTCATAAGAAATTTAGTCTCTTAGCCCAACTTTTTGCTCCGTGCAAGTTTTTTAAAGTTGGGTGGATTCTGTTTGTAAATGTTTTTATTGTTCAAAAATCATTCTAAAAGTAATTTCAGCTTTACCTTTCCTCTGTGTTGTACTTGTTATAATTGTGGTGTTGATATCCCTATTCTCATAGAATTAGAACAATAAATACAAATTTATAGTTATCGTTATAGTTAGCGTTCTTGGTGTCAACGGCACAACTACAAAGATAACTATATTATCGTCCACACCAATGTATGATAACATAATGTTTATTATAAGCACGCTGCAGTTTTGTCGTTTACCGCTTTAAATACTTAAGTTCTTTAATGTTTTTATTGTTCATCAGCTAAAAAAACGTTCTAAAAGTGATTCCACTTTACACTTGGTATTTAGATGCGTTTTGGTCGATCGGATCACAAGTGGACAACACTAAATACAGGTGTAAACGGGGTGTGAAAGGTTTTCAGTTTGTCCACTTTCAACCACTTCCAGAGGTAGTCGAAAACGCATTCGACTGGATTGCTTTCGTGGTGTAGCTTAGACGCTGATGTGGTCGAATGCGTTCGAGCAGCCACAAAAGACCGCCTACTCTCTGCCTACTGACCTACTACACGTGTAATCATTGCGAGACGTACAAGGACGCGCGCTTATCAGACGGGAACTTTTTAAACTTTGACAGGCCTTAGAAGTATTATTTTCTGATAACATGAAAAGAAACAACAGCAGTAAGCACAAACAGATGTAATATTAGTGTGCGATAAACTTTAGCCCTCCCGCTCGTGTTTTGACGCCGACAGAGGGATCCGCCCATTTACCCTCCTCTTGACGTAATCAGCACCACGGGGGGTAATCTGGTCGACAGTGGTCAGAAGAGATGGATTAAAACGCCAGGTGTAAACAGGCATGTGTCTCCATTGTCCACTTGTGATCCGATCGACCAAAACGCATCTTAAACAGGGCCTATATTGTTCTTCTGTGTCGTTATTGTTATAGTTGCGGTGTGGACTTGATTCTTATAGAATTAGAACGGTTATTAAAACGTAATAGTTATCGTTATAGTTAGTGTTCCCTATAGAACGCCAACTATAACGATAACTATATTAGTGTCCACACCAACGGACGATACAATTCTGTTTATTATAAGCACACGCTGCAGGATGGATTATCTTTGGTTGCAAGTGTTTTTAATCATTCATTAGCTTGAAAAAAAATCGTTCTGAATATGATTCCAACTATATTGTTCCTCTGTATCATTATCGTTATAGTTGTGGTTTGGCGTAA